CAAAACGGACTCAGGACGTCATAAAATGTTAGGATAGGTATACCCGAAAAAAGTCAACGACGGTCAAAGGTCCGGTCAACGACGATCAACGCGGTTAACGGTCGGTCAACGGGTCAGGTCAGATCGGTTCAAGGCTGTCCACCACGCGCCGGATATGCCCCACGCGCATGGGAGGCGCGTGCGGTGGCCTGGGAGCCCCAAAAAATTCTGGAAAAATTTCTAAAAATATTTTATAGCATTTTGAGACACTTACCAAGCTCGGTTCACAATTTTGAACGGCAGAGAACTCGATTCCTAAACGTCGGAAACTTTAACTTCCTCACCCCCTCACGCTCCGGTGACGACGAAGACACGAAGGATACTGGTGGACTCGAAACGATGCAAGGAACAAGATGGTGTGAGAGGTATCGAAAATGGGTAGCCGGATCGACGGAAAACTAACGAAGATTGAGTTAAAACCGACGATACTTCCTATTGAAATTTACGACGAACGACGCCGATTCAGGACGAGAGCTTTGAAGGGTTTTGTTCTTCGGTCGACAACGAACACGATGGTGGTTTCAGATCGTCAAACGATGGCCGGACGGTGAATAGATCAGAGCTCAAAGTAGTTGATTGGTAAGAGGAAAATGAGGAAAAATTCTGCAGAAAACATACGCGAGGAATTTATAATTCAACATATAAAAAAATGGGTAAATTCAGGATTGAGTCCCTGAATTTCCTACACTTCTTAAAATGATCTACCAACTTTTAAATTTTATAATTTAATCCTCAATTTTTTTTCAAAATACCACTTAAATTCCATACTTTATAATTTCTGAAAATTTAGCCCCTAAATTAAGGGTGTGACAATAGAATTTTTACCTTAAAATGATACCCTGAGGATAAAATACTAAAAAATAAAGACCAAAATAATTATTAATCAAACATTAAAAGAATATTTTTAGTATTATACCTTTTAAATAAGAATATAATCACAATAGTCACAATGCATCCGATAATATATTTATTTTCTAATAATATAATATTTTTACCAACAATTTAAAAAGTGATTTCTATTCTACTATTAAAACATGACCTAGCTCAATGACAAGATAACATGATCTTAACGTAGTGGATGTGTGTATTATATCGTAATCTGAGATAGATTGAGGTCAGTGTAGTTGTTTCCTAAAAATTTAAAATTATTATATATTTTAAATTTTTAATATATTTTTTTGAAAAAAAAAATTATCCCTTAAAATTTTATAAGTTCAAATTCATCCCGCTAAATTCAAATTCATCGCTTCAAATATAAAATTCTATGTTCGTCTCGATCATAATATTAAATAATGATTTGAAACTTTTTGTATTAAAATGTTCCTTGTAAAGATTAAGTTGTGATTTACATTTATTAGTTTATTTTTTTGTGATTATTAAAAAAATACAATTTTATTTAAGTTGGATTGATGCTCTTGTGGTCCTTGAAATTCTTTTTTTAATTTATATTTAGTTAATAATAAAAATAAATTAAATTAAATAATAGTTATCTATTTAAATTCTTATATATTAAATAATTTTTGTTATTTTTTTTATTGTCCTTCTAGGGTTTCTCCCTAATTATTTTGGCCTGACTTGTGTTGTACGCCTAATTTTAGTGGGTGAGTCTCCTAATGAGAATTTTTTACATAAACAATAACTCGAACCCAATATATTAATTCATCGATATCAAACTGCTTACAACTTGAACAACCCCATTTTTTGGGAATGATGCCCCCAACACTAAATATATGACAAATTTCATTTTTATTAAGTTAAAGTGAGTATAAAATAATATATGTTTTAAATATTTTTAATTATTTGACAATAAATGCTCAATTACCTTGTTACAGTTGCTGATGTTTGAATTCATAAACTTTAAAAATAAAAATCATTCTTTTAACCACTTAAGTAAGTTAATTCGTATATGTTATTTCACGTTAATTGAAGATTTACTTACTAGGGATATACAAAGACCCTATCTTAGAGATTGATATAATTTGAACTCTCTTTCCAATTAAAAAAAAATTACTAATAATTTCTAAAATGAATACATTTTTGTGCATAGTTTGTTTTACCGATTTAAATTGCCCTTTAATTTAAAATTTTATATATAAAGAGAAAATTAAAAATCAGCAAAATTCCGCAAAGTAAACATCTAAAAGGTTTTTTTTTTATTTTTTGCTAAGAGAAACCAATTACAACTAACCAGACAAGCTAAGGTAAACTGAAGTGGCAACACCAAGCGCGTACACACCAATCGCCGCCCCAACAACCTCTTTCCCCGTTCTCGTCGCCGCGCCAATCCCCGCTATAGCTAAGACACCAACCGGCACTCGCTTTATCAATGCCTTTCCGGCGTTTCCCACAACGGCATCGGTGAACAACACCTGTGCCCATTCCTTGAACTGAGGGGAGTCGAGGACAAGCGGTTCTCCGTCGCTCCGGGGATTTTCACGGTGGCGAGTCACGAATCGGAAAGCAGAGTCGACTTGGGAGCGGGAGGGAGGATCGGGGACCCAGCGGAGGATGAGAGGGTGAGGGTGAACAGAAGTGAGGTCTTGGTGGAGGTGGGCGGAGGCTGTAACCAGCTGATAAGGGAGGACTCCGGGAAAAGCTTGTTCGGAAAGGGCGAGGCACTGAGTGTAGACTGAGTCGCACGCTGAGTTGAACTGGGACAAATTGATTAATGTGCAGCTGACTCGCTTCGTTGCCGATTGAGAAATCCCCATCTCTCTTCAAGTTGAGTTTGCTGCTATTTTTCCACAGGTATTGGTTGGAAGTTGACAATATCCGAATAATATTGTATTTAAGATAAATTATATATTTAATATCTAAATTAGTTTTAATTTGTTTTATTTTTAATTTTAAGTAAAATATATTATTTTTCACTAAACTTTATTTTGTCTACTATTTTATTTACTATACTTTTAATTTTTTTTAATTTTGTTTTTGATCACTTTGAATTTTTATTATTATCTTTGTATGATGTGATATTTATTATTATTTAATATATAAATTTTTAAAATATAAAATAAAAATTGAATATGGTCGAATGTCACCGTTAACCGTCTTAGATGATGATTGTTCAGTCCTAAATTTCATGGGTCGATTCACTTTGACCTATGAGTCCAAATTTACTGGTTGTTTTACCAAAAATATCTCAAAACCCGTGAATCTCAACTGAAACATTTCGGCTTCGTCACTTTCGATCTATAATTTGTGTACTTCAGAGAAGTTCCGATAAAATAGAGGTCAGATTCAAACTTAGGGTGTCAAGACAAAGCGATCCATGAAATTTGAGATCGAACAACTACCATCTACGACGGTCGATGGCGACTACGGTGGTTTCCAACCACCTTCTATTTTATTTTTTATTTTAAGTTATTTTATATTAAATAATAATAAAAATGACATATCATATGAAAATAATAATACAATAATTCAGAGTGATTAAAACATGAATAATTCAGAGTGATTAAAACATGAATAATTCGAAAGTTTAGTGAGTAAATTAGGAAATTTAGTGAGTAAATTAGTAAATTTAAAAATACAATGAGTAAAATAGGAGAGAGTAAATTCTAGTGAGGAATGGTGTAATTTACTCTTCATTTTTTTCAAAACCATACTTAATGTTTAGTTTAGTTTAGTTTTATTTTAGTACATTATTAAAAACTTAACGCTAAGTTTTAGAAAAATTAAAAGTTTAAGTACTAAAACGAATCAAAACTAATAGTTTATGTACTAAAAGCATTAAGTTTTTAATGGTGAAGTACTAAAATGAAACAAAAACTAAACAATAAGTGTATGGTTTTGAAAGAAATTAAAAATCTAGGTACTAAAATGGATCAAAATTGATAATTTAAATACTAGCGTATAATTTACCCTTATATTTATGGTCAATTAAATGTATTATTATTTAAAAAATTTGTTGATAATTCGCAAATAAAATTAGAAGTATTACTTTAGGTGAAAAATTAAAAATAGAACAAAATAAACTTTTAGACATCAAACTTCTATTGTATGTATTCCATTAATTATTTTATTAAATCAAAATTTGATTTTTTTTTATGTTAGAAGATAGATATTATTTTTATTAAAAGTAGATTGCTCAGCGTCCTTGTTACTTATTAGGGTAAATTATTGATTGGCCAGTTTTCTTTTACATTTGTACATTTCTATCCACCAAATTTTTTAAAAAAAATATTTTAATCACTTACTTTATTGATTTCTTAAATTTTATTTACTTACGTTACTGATTATTATATTTTGGAAATTAACCCGTTAACACTTTTAACATACTTTTAACATTACATGTTAATCATAAAGGATTAATTTTTAATTTTACCTCTAAATTTTAGATAAAATATTAATTTAACCCTAAACTTTAAATAAAATATTATTTTAACCCATATCAATTTGACTCTTAAATTCAATCAAAATCTCCTATCGCCGCCATCATTGTCAATCACATCAATCGACATTGATCATTGTCACCGTTTACAATTAGACCCTAAAATTTATAGATCATTCATTTTTTGACATTCTATATAAGAATTTAATGTTCGTTTCACCGGAAAACATATGTAGCTCAACAAATTTAGCTTATCCTTCAGACTTTCTTTAAAATCAAACCATAATAATAACAATTCAACTTGCTTTTCAATTATGGGATTTTACCTGAAATGATGCATGATTTTATGCTACAAACCAGACATGATTCAGCTGTTGGGAAAGGGATAAAACGGATGAAAAACAAGATGGCTTGAAACCTAATACAAGGTAGTTGATTGGAGCATTCTTATCAGTTCTATATATATTCTAATTGAAGCTTATTAGTTCCTTCTATGCAACTTTTCTATGGCAATATAATACATTTCTAAGACTGTTTTTCTATCTACGATCCAAATACACAAACACTATTATCTTCAAAATCTGTTAATGTAATGCAAAACTTGGAATACAAGGAAATATGCTCTTTCTTACTTTCCAAGGTTGATGTGTATTACAAACATATGCCAATTACATGAAACCTATGTTACCCAGACTCATAATTTTCCCTAAAGTTATTTGTGTTCGTCAACTGTGTTCGATACGAACCCGTCAAATAAATGGGAAAAACACTAGAAAAGAATGTATATATATATATATGTGTGTGTGTCGGACAATATACACATACTAATTCCAATAACCCTAAGTCCGGGTGCCGCAATACAAGGAACACTTGACCTCTACTTGAACACAAACAAAAGAGCATGCACGTCGCCCTCTGAATCACTTTGACGAACAAACAATGATAATTTAAAACGGGGAGAAATCAGATAAATAAATAACACAAAATTTAAGTTCAACTAGCTAAGTGGCTGGGAGATTTGTTAAACATACTGTGCCATACGTAAGCCCTAGAAAGTACTGTTTCGAGCTCCTGATATGTCCAGTTTTGAGTTGGAAGGCGTTGAAGGAACATCACCATCTCCTGGAAGTCAAGCTTCAGAAGTTCATCTGACCACTGAAACATACAGAACAAAGCATTCATCAATTAGTGTTTTGCCAATTTTGTCATGATTATGAACAATCACATCGAAAAATATTGTTTCAGGAGGCGCCCGGTATCGAAGTATCATTAAAACAAAATGAACTGCAGTTGAATGGTTAGGAATTAGGAATCACAAAGTAAAGCTCGTCTATGCTGATAGGACCCGTCATTTTGCTTGAAGTACATGTGTACATTTTAGGATACGGGTATGGGGATATGACACGCCAAGGAATATACCAGTGTTGACATTTCTGACATCACACCCGAGTTCAAGTAACATAGAAGCTCATTAGAATTATTTCACAAGGAAATGGAAAAATTGGGAAGGGTTGTTCTTTCTGAACCATGCAGAAGTAAAGTTCAAAGTTGAACATTACACCTTAACATAAAAGATGCAGATGAACAGGCTCACTTAGCAATCTAGGAAAACAAGCATATGAAGTAAGCTCTAAGAGATGCTTGTTTTTAGTTTGATGTTTTCGATCCAACATCTTACCCTTTTTCACCATCTATCTTACTCACACTAGGGTGAGAGTGTTTGATACACACGTTCAATTTTTTTTCTGTTTTTCTATATATTTTGAAGGTCTTTGGATATACCCATACCTATGTCTAGATATGCATCGGATATTCATATGTGCTGGGCATCGGTACTTCAAGAAAAATAAAGAGTAGGAGAACATAAGCAATCATTATCGTTTTGACATAAGAAATGGTGATTATTTCTCTTTTAGATAAGGAAAAGAAAGAACAAACACACAGACAATCATCTTTTTAATTGAACAATTACCAAAGCTGCATCTCCTTCAGGTTGCAAAACCTCTGTCAGAGATGAAAGCTACTAAAATAGATCAGCACAAAGGAAGCTAGAGTGCTCACCGTTAGAAGAAAACTGGCAAATATGTAGACGAGGAAATCCGGCAGTGCATCTCCTTCAGCAAGATACGTGTCCCATAGACGGGTTACTAGATGAAAAGGGATCTTAAACAATAAAAATAAATAACTATAAGTTGGAGCATTTGGTCAATCAAAAATAAAAAGTATTTGAAATGCGGGATAAACCAATGAATACGGATAGCATGATGAAACCTTACCTCGCGTATAAGCAAACAGTTGAACCAGCGAAAAGCAAACTGAAGATATTCTAGTCCTTGGTCCTCCATGTGTCTAGAAACAGGTTCTGGTATAGGTTAAAGAACAAAGAAATCAATAAGAGAAAGAGATGAAATTAGAACATAAAAACATAAACAAAAATTTATGTCAATAACGGAAATTGCAAGCACATTATAGGGGAATAATACATAGGGGCATAAACATCTTTCTTTCCATCATAACCCTTAAAACAAAGATAAGTAACTCACACAGAGTTTACCATCAATGCACGTATAGAGTTTACTCATAAAAAGTGCAATTTTAGGGAGAGAACTGAAAGGCCTCTATAGAGTTTACCATCAATGCGCCTAACCAATTCCTTCAGCTTAAATACAAGCCTCTGGATTCCCGGTTGAGCAAATGTGTAATGGTCTTGCATGCCATCAAGCAACTTTGATAAGCACCAATAGCAATCAGCTTCTATGTCGGATATCTTCTCGGAAGGTATAGCAGACATTGACCAACTATCTATGCTCCCTTTTAAATACTCCGATAAGAAGACAACTAGAAAGGGTGTTACAAGATCATTTATCCCCTGCACATATCCACTTGCAGGATGCCGAATGGCCCTGCACATGAAGTTCAAGAGCAGCATCAGTTATCCCCAAAACATCATCAGTATCTCAAAAGTTGCTTCTAAGCAAACGTAAATCAATGTTAAAAAAACTGGACCAGAGGCCGAATCAAGCATATCTCTGTTCCCATTTCAACCAGGCAATTCAATGTTTTCTTAAGTTATTAATGTTTAGATACTTTAAAAACTCAATTTAATGTAAAATAAACTATAAAATTAGTTAATAGTTAACCAAAAAATCTCTCAGATTAACATTAACATTTTATTATAAACTAGGAGATTAAAAGTGCATATCTCATTTATTACAAATAAATAGAAAAACAGTATTTTACCATCCAGTCCGGTCTTTTAGTGGTTGAACAGGTTTATATAATCAAACATTTCATTTTAAAAACCGGCGTTCTACTTTTTTGAAAAAGATTATCGAGTTTTGCATCAGAAAGCCATCAATAAATGTGAACTAACCAACTCAACTAGTATCTTACCATGTATAAAGAATGCGTGCCAAGGATTTTTGAACTTGAGCTTGCTGAAAGAAAACAACATCAGGTACCGTCCTAGGACAATCAACAGCAATCTAACAAACAGAATAAACGATGTTGCTAAATCAGACATAGAAGGCTAATGATCAAATTTGAGAATTAAATAAGGGATAAAGATACCTGACGAAGCATACTAATCTCATCAGCTGACCGTTCAGTATCAGGAATGTCATAAAATTGAGCAACACAATCAAGATACTCAATGCGTTTCCTCCTTAGAGCTCCCTCCCTTCTATCTGAATTAGATGGTGCATATCCCTGTTGTTAGTTCATACAATTTCAAATGAGTAACCAAATTTATTTAATAAAGACAATCTATATCCATCTGATTAAAAATTAGTTAATCTAGGATATTAAATATGAGACATGCAGATTTTTTTTCATCTAAAAAGTGGCTTCATTGTTTCCATTAATTGGAATACATAGCCAAGGAGACAACACAACAAAGAGAAATTCAACCTTTGGAACAAACTAAAAACCATATAATAAATAACTCCTACAAAAAGATATATCTGACACTAAAACACAGAGCATAGTACCATGGCATCATTACGTGGAAACAAATCATTAGACTATGAATGCAGCAGCTATAACATACTATTAAATGCGCAGCAAATTGAAATAAAATCATTACTTTACATAAAATAAAAAATCATTACTTCACATAAAATAAAACATCACAGCATTTACAAAAAAGAAGAATAATGAATTGATTCATAGAGTTCAACTCCACCTAATGCCTAAAACTGATAGTTCTGAGCTTACCAACAGAAGTCTCCATACATTAGGACGCATGTAAGGTGTAACACCACTCCAAGATAACTCACGTAATCTCTCTGCAAAAAAGACATACTAATCAAATCATCACTACGACCATATATATATATATATATATATTCTGAAGTCATTCTCGAAGCAACAAAGGATATATGGTACCTAAAATGACCGTTTGTCCTGATAGCTCTCTAGAGAACTTTGTAACCCTGGCAGAATCTGTAGCTCTTGTGCCCATTGGAGAGTTCTGAACTTCATTGGAAGCATTCTCAGTCTTCGAAAATGGAGATCTTGACTTATTAACAGTTGTATTACCATCTCGGTTATTTGTATTTCTGACCCCTCCCTAAATGAAACCAATGTTTTTCAGTTAAGAATTCCAGACTTTAAATGAACTCTAAAGTCACACTAGTAAAAGAATAAGTCAGTTTTCAGTATTTTAGTAATAGAATGAATAATACATTCTATAGATATTCATTCTAAACCTCACCTCTACAGTCTTGTCCATGTCATCACTTGTGCCAGCATCGTTCTGTGAGAAGCTTCTTTGATAACTGGGAGATTGTTCTTGTAAGCCTGATTCATCAATTGGATCTGGTCTTCTGGTCAATAATACTTTACCAGGAATGCTGCGACCTTTAAGCAACCTTAATAAGAGGCATATGATAAAAAGAAATAATTATTTTCTGCCAAAGTAATAAATCTGGAGTAAGCCAATTTGCAACCCGTGTTAACATCAATCTTCAGCCCATTTGCATTATGAAATCCACGCTCAGCAACGTTATCATTGGTAAGCATGTCTAAAAACAAGTAACATTTTTTGTTCCATAACCTTTATGAACTCATCACATTCAATAAACATCCTCTCTATTCTCTGGAAAAACCAAGCTAAAGGAGTATTATATGATTCTCCAACAACAATGACATGAGCAAATTACAACATACACCTAAACCAGACACTTCTAAAGCAAAGATGGAAAAGTCGCCTTCCAAGAGAAAGAGAAACTGATCATACCATTACGTAGAACATGATCAGGCTTTAATTCTCAAAAGGGTCATTAAATCTTAAGGGCAAATCACACAATCTAAACTCAATAAACCTAACTGGAAATTTTTGGGAAATCAAAGTTTTCCCATTAAAGAAGAAAATTCCTCCATACAAACTAAGAATCAGGTCTGAAATTCGAATGATCCGTAGATTTTTCGCATATTGGTATCTAAATCTAAATCCAATGGGACAAAAACACAAGTAAAGAGGGGGAATCCAGAATTAACATTGAGAAACAAGAGTAATGGGAAATTGGAATGGGTAAAAAAGTAGTACCCTTGGACATTCTTGAGGGTTTGGTTGAATCCGGAATCAAGGCTTTCTTTGTTACGCTGATCTTCTCCGCCATGGCCGTTGTTGTTCATGGTTTTTGTTGTTATTCCTTGCTTCTTCTTTCTGTTTTGTTGGTTTCTTTCTTCCTTCAAAACCCACTTTTATTCCTTTGAAATGAAGCTCTAACAAAGATTACAGAACAAATCATTAGTTTAAAGGTTTGAAAGCACAATTTGTTTATATTAATCCATCTCTAATCTTTTTTTCCCCCATTGAATTGAATTGACTATCGTTTATTTTTTCCATTTTAAATTGCTTTCTCTAAATTACAATTCTCGTGAAAAGACTTTTATTCATGCGTAAAATAGATAATTAAATTATATCAAAATAATTTTTAAATCATAAATTCAAAATTTTTAAAAATAATTAATATTTTTCTAATAATTTGGCATTGTAACGTGGTATTGTTTAGAATATTTCATATAATCATTCATATAATCATTGATAACAAACATATCTTGTAAATACAACTGTTCGAATTTGAAATTTCAAAAATATCAATTAGGTTACTTAATTAATTTAAGTAGTTATTAAATTTTTATTTAACTATTAAGTAATCATCACATAATTAGTTCTTACTTATCATTATAACGTAATATGTGAGATAAATATGTAATATTTAATTTTTTTAAGTAATCATCACATAATTAGTTATTACTTATCATTATAACGTAATATGTGAGATAAATATGTAATATTTAATTTTTTTTCTCGTAATTATAATAAAAATTCAATTATATACATTTAATTAGATTAATATATTAATTTATTTTTATGTAGGAAAAATATAATTTTTGGTATATATATATATATAACATGTAAATGCCAAATAGTGCAACATCGATAATAGTTGCAGTAATATGTAAAAATTGAATATATATATATATATATATATATATATATATATATATATATATATATATATATATATATATATATATATATATATATATATATATATATATATATGAAATTACACAAATTCAAAGTTCGTGTATAACATTGCACATTTTGCTAGACTTCATATGTAGTTTTGATGTGTGTAAATTATAAATTTCATCACTTGATTTTTTTTATTGAAATTTCTTTTAAAAGATCATGAAATATTTCAAAACATATCATAGTGGATATCACATATCATAGTGGTTTAAGATTTCACGAGTTTTGAGGTTTAAGTTGAATTTGTTAGTTTTAAAGTGTTTTTGGAAAAATCTTAACATATAGAGTAATAGGAGACATGAAGTAAATCCTTAAGTGTATTAAGTAGGAGTATATTCGGTTCGGTTCGGTTTTTTTAACGGTTCGAGTTTTTTGATATCAACAAAAACATGTTCATATCAGCACACGTGAGTACCATGTCATTCTTTCATTTTTTGATTTAACGTACGAATGACCAAAATAAGAGAGTAAGTAAAAAGTCAAGGAGTAAATTAATTTTTTTAATATTAGTAACCAAAATTGAAGTGCGAATAAAATTAAGTGATGAAATTTATGATTTATCTTGCCTTAAAATAATCAAGTAGAAAGCTTGATAATTATAAAATAATCTTACTTAAGCCAAAATAAATTTAGACATAACCTACAAACAATAAAACTTAAATTAGAATATACTGAGAACCCACACTTTGTCTAATATGGAATCTCAAAATCCCTACAGTTTTAATTGTACTAAGGTGAGTACAAGTATTATTTGCCGAAAGATTTTCAATCATTTGATACTAAATGTATATATTATTGATATATATGATATTCAAACTCGAGACTTTAAGGAATAATAAGTCTCCTTAACTACGAGATTGTTTTAAAAGTTAAATTACAGTTTTTATGTTATGAACCAAAAGTAATAATTGTGGCAACCGATCAAATTTAATAAAAAAAAACTGAACTAAACACCATGATTCAAATTGATTTTCAATTTTCTCATTTCTTACTCAACCTTGTTTACCACTCACTTTAAACTCTTATGGCATAACATTACGAAAAACGAAAGAACGATGCTTCTTCTACAACAATGGTAGATTTTCTTTTCTTTTCTTTATGGAGAAAGAAAGAAAGAATAATTGGGAGAAATAGAGGAAAATAATGGAAAAAGAGTCAGAGTTCTTCATCTTCAAGTCCAGGTATGTATTCCAAACTCACATCGAAAACCACTGGGCTACTTGGAGCTACTCTTGGTCTTCCCGGAGCCGACGTTAAACCCTTCGGGAACGCCAACTAAATCACAAACGCATCAAGTTCCATCAATGGATTAAATGTTCGATAAAGTCACAAAATGCTTCAACTTGAATCTTCCAAGGCCATGTACCTATATCTATGTGTTGGACATAACTATCGAACACGATACTTCACGAAAAATGAAGAGTTAGAGCAATATAGGTTAGCTTACCGGTCCCGGAATATAAAGTCTGCGCTTCCCTCCTACTTTCATGCTCAAAATGCCTTCATCAAGCCCCTTGATCACCTGTTCTACTCATTAGATGAACAATCAGTAACGGTACTGTCATTTCCGGAACTTTAATTTATTACCAAACTCTCTCATTCTTTTTATTTTCATTTCCGATTGAATGAACATGACTGAGCATGAATAGAATGTCAATCGTAGGCCACTCGATGAGCTTACCTGACCAGAACCAACTCGAAATATGTAGGGCAGACCTTTCTCCAGTGAACTACAAGAGCATTGGAGAAGGAGCAGGGGATTCCAATATCAGACATCTTGCATATGCTTCAAACGTAATATCAGGAGTTTACAAAATTAAATGATTACCTATCAAATATTTGTCCGGATGGAACCATCGCAACATAATTAGCAGCCACCTGCAATAATCGACACCAAAATCACAAGACATAGCTCAGGGTTCATGTGGGCTGGTAAAAGCAAACCAGATAATGCAAATTGAAAAGATCATGGCATGGCTTACACGTGGTTTGCTCAATTTGAATACAAAGTTTGAACTTAAAATTTGAACATTTGTTACTTAGAAACCTTCAATGTTGATTCGTACAAGAGACAAATTCAATTCCAGGTTGTTCGGATTGTAGGAGAAAAATGGCAAACTTGCAGGAGAAGAACAATTGACGTACCTGAAAACCAACCGGTGGGCTAGGACCTTCACCAACTTTAATATCCTTGTACTGCAAACCGGATTCCGTAGTTACCATAGGTACCTTAACCAAACGCGAAGTATTAAAACATTAGCTTCCGGACATAGATATGTTCAATGTTTCTTTTTCCAAAATTTTGATGTATTCTGAGGGTATTTTGAGAATCATATCTATACATTTCTGAATAAGCATCAGATATAGATGCCGGATACAAGTGTTTCAAGAAAAATAAAGCATTGAAACAACATAGAACCGTTCATCAACCGTCAAGTGTCAACAGAACAATCCTATCATTTGAATTGAGATATGCTCGTTTAAGCCTATATACAATATTAGAAGTTACATTATCAATTTGTCATCACCACCGGTTGTTTTGTTTTTTATGCATATTCATTGTTCATCTTTGTTAAACGTAGATTAATCTCTATACTACCTAGACTCTTTATCTTCCCTAAAAAAAATCTCTACATAGACTAGTTTAAATTACACACATTCGAACACCTAGTATGGAAGCATGATCCTCCAAATATACAGAAAAACTTCAAAAGAATCGGGCATAACAATGCAAAACACATATCAGTATTCGAAACTAATTATCAAATCCGGAAACATTGTTAATCGTATAATGTATGACAATCAAGCGTGCCAATACAAAGTTCCAAACCATCAATAACTATGCCTTACTAATGTCTTAGAGATGCAGTGCTTACTCAGTAATATTAGACATGATAAGATTACAAGACAAGAAAGAAAATAGAACAAACATAAAACATATAAACGAATACGTAAAAGTCTCAAATGATTAGAATTAACCTATCAAAAGTTAAATATAAATACATATAATTAATTAAAAACGATATGACACAGCGAGCTATACAACCACGACAGAATATGCAAGAGTGCAGTAGCAGTCTAAGGGGGCTAAGTAATCTCACCATACATTTTCAAGCTCTTTCTCGCAGGCATCGTCACAAAGTTTTGGCTTTTCCTCCGGTGGCAATCCGGCACCATCAGCGTTCGGTGAGTTCAACAAGATGCTTGGGACTCCAAGTAGCAACCCGATCACATCCCTTCGAGTAACTAGACTAAGTCCATTGGTTTGTTTTCTTGTTTTACAACTTGAGCACTTAACAATTAGGCCTTGAGCCCTGATATTTGAGGGGGACATATTATTGACAAACAGATTCTTCCCGGACGCAGAACCTAATACAGTTGCATCAAATGCAAAACTCAAACAGCTGAACCACCCAAATAACAAAATATGCATTTAAACATCACTCGGATTTTTAATTTTTTAGAGAAAAAATGAGATATTATCTTTTAAATATACGAAGAAATCTTGAAAAATATTATATACCAGTCATGGATACATATTCAAGGCATTTATAGAAGTTAGATAGACCCCTTCATATATATATGATTTAAGATCATTGGAAAATAGATTACTTGAGACTAACGATAGAAAATGAGAATATATTCACATAAAATAAACCATTTAAAAAAATTATATTGTGTAAGTAAATCCCAACTTATAAGAAAAAAAGTCTAATACTGTGAAACATAAACTTCATAATATATACAACACTCATCCTAGTGATACAACAACAAAACAAACCCAAAAAAAGATTAAAAGAATTTAACAGAACAATTTGGTAATATATAGTGAATGCATAGGAATTGATATTAGCCTGAAATATTTTCCAAAGAAGTACAAGAGTGATTCGTGAAATGAAATGGAGAAAACCCAGAAAAATAAACACAAAATTCATTTCATCCCCTAAATTCATAGTACCCAGTGGGATATTTAAGTAAAGATAGAATGGGTCTTACCAAGAGGAAACAGCAAGGATGAAGGAAAAGAAGAAGCCATGCACGATGCCATGGTGTTTGAGAAAGACAGAGAAAACTGAAGCCTAGGTAAGGATGATTGTTTATCAATGGATAAGGAAATCCTTGCGCATTTTGTCTTGACCAGTCGTACATTTTCTCTGTTTATTATTGGCTTAATACAAAAATA